CCGCCCATACTGGCAAGCGCTCGATCTGTATGTTGACGAGGCGAAATATTTGGATTGTTCGTGAACGTCCTGTTACCGAAGTTTTTACGACACATTTGGATTGATATTGACCAAGTTCTTACATTTCCATGTCAGTATGCATACCAATTTGGGCTTATCGGCAAAATCGGCGATTATGTCGTTTCTGTTCTGTTGCCTACTAGCCTTATCAAGGGATTTCGGTAAGAGGCGAGCCTGCCGCCATATTGTTTTGGTTTGAAACGGGGCGTGGCTTAAATGTGATGGGAGGAGCTTAACACGATTGATCATGATTCTATCGCAGATGAGAACATGGTCCGTATCCAATCAAAACACTCGTTGCAAACGAATCGTGAATATGTGAAACAGTAGACAACAGAAAGTGTACAGTAAACACCAGAACATGTACAGTAGAAATCAGAACATGTGAAACAGTAGACAACAGAACGTGTACAGTAAACACCCGAACATGTGAAACAGAAGACAACATAACTTCTACAGTAGACATCAGAACGTGTACAGTAGACATAAGAACATGTACAGTAGACATAAGAACATGAACAGTAGAAATCAGAACATGTGAAACAGTAGACAACAGAACGTGTACAGTAAACACCAGAACATGTACAGTAGACATCAGACAATGTAAAACAGTAGACACCAAAACTTGGATACAGTTGTGTGATCGCACAACGCACCACAAATACCGTGCGCACACCGTGCATACATCGTTCACACACCGTCCGCACATCGTCCACACATGGTGCGCACAACTGGGCGATTTAACAATCGTTCGCCCCGTTGTGCGCGTCTCTCCGCACAACTGTGCGATTAGGTAAAATTTGTTGATCAATATTACGGAATGAAAAAATTACGGAAGGCTCCTATGTAATAATGTACACTGTATTTATTATTGTAATTTCTCTCCACAATAATTAAGATTATGTACAATTTTACAATACATGTACCACAGTATTACAGTGACAGTTAGACTGTCAGGAATTAATGGATTTGACTCCTAGCTAGGTAACAGAACAGGTAAATAATATTTTGATGAGTGACGGACGGGTAGAGCTGATATGTGATACAGTATACCGTTATGAAAACACAACTGGACGTTAAGTTTCTGTTATTTGCATTCGTTTTAATCTAAAGCTCCCCTTCTCTTGGTTTTCACACCTTGGCGAGTTACGTAAGTGCCCCGGGCGGGAGAAAACTACGATCCAGGTACAAAGTGGCTATGTTTACCTGTGTTTCCGGGACGTGTCGATTCTAAATTTAAGAAAGTATAGACAGAAAGATAAGTTTGTAGATGAAGCTAGGATAAGGAAACATACTAAAAAATCAAGTTTTATGTTTAAACACTAAACCGTATATATTGGTTAGCAATTCCTCAATTTACCCCAACCACGATTGTTATCGCGTAACGTTCGTCGATCGTCCGCACAAATGTGCGCAATCAATGATCGTCCAATTTTTTATCGTTCGCACTTCGTGCACACATCGTTCACACACCGTGCACACATCCTGCGCACACGCGCATCGTGTAACGTTGTGCGATCCCACAACCCTAGCAGATATCAGAACGTGTACAGTAGACACCAAAACGTGTAGAGTAGATATCAGAACATGTGCAGTAGACATCAGATTGAGCAGAAAAGTAGACACCAGAACGTGTATAGAAGATATCAGAACGTGTACACTAGACACCAGAACATCAGAACATGTACAGTAGATATAAGAACATATATTGTAGACATCAGAACATGTAAAGAAGATATCGGAATGTGAATAGAAATATCAGAATGTGTACAGTAGACATCAGAACATGTAGAGTAGAAATCAAAACATGTGAAACAGTAGACAACAGAACGTGTACAATAGACATCAGAACATGTGAAACAGTAGACAACAGAACTTCTACAGTAGACATCAGAACATGCAACAAAATATACACCAGAACGTGAATAGAAATATTAGAATGTGTACAGTAGACATCAGAACATGAACAGTAGACACCAGAACGTATTTAGTAGACATCAGAACAAGTACAGTAAACTCCAGAACGTGTACAGTAGACAATAGAACGTGTACAGTAGACATCAGAACGTCTACAGTAGATATCGGAATGTGAATAGAAATATCAGAATGTGTACAGTAGACAACAGAACATGTACAGTAGACACCAGAACGTGTACAGTAGACATCAGAACATGTGAAACAGTAGACAACAGAACGTGTAGAGTAGACATCTGAACGTGTATAGTAGACATCATAACATGTAAAATAGTAGACACCATCACTTGTAAAGTAGACGCCAGAACGTGTATAGTAGATATCAGAACGTGTGAAACAGTAGATATCAGATCAGAACGTGTATAGTAAACACCAGAACGTGTACGGTAGACATCAGAACAATTGAAACAGTAGACACCAGAACGTGTATTGTAGATATCCGTACGTGTACGGTAGACATCAGAACAATTAAAACAGTAGACACCAGCACGTGTATTGTAGATATCCGTACGTGTACAGTAGATATCAGCACAAGCACAGTAGACATCAGAACAATTAAAACAGTAGACACCAGAACGTGTATAGTAGATATCAGAACGTGTAAAACAGTAGATATTAGAACGTGTAGAGTAAACACTAGAACGTGTACAGTAGACATTAGACAATTAAAACAGTAGACACTAGAACGTGTACGGTAGCCATAGGAACATGTAAAGTAGATATCGGAATGTGAATAGAAATATCAAAATTTGAACAGTAAACAACATAACATGTACAGTAGAAATCAGAACATGTGAAACAGTAGACACAAGAACGTGTAAAGAAGACACCAGAACATTTACAGTAGACATCAGAACATGTAAACCAGTAGACACCAGAACGTGTACAATAAACGCCAGAACATGTTAAACAGTAGAAATCAGAATGTGTACTGTTGATATTACAATATGTACAGTAACTATCAGAACGTGTATAGTAGATATAGGAAGGTGTGTAGTAGACGTCGCTATGTGTACAAAAGACATCAAAACTTGTACAGTTGACATGATAATTTGGACAGTAAACATCGGAACGTATATAGTAGATATCAGAATGTGTACAGTAGATATCAGTACATGTAGATACCACGTGATGCAATGTGCATACAACATGGTTTTGTATGGAAGTTAAAATATACTACCTTTTGTAAATGTGAAACAAATTCTACAGTGCCATTCGTCCACCCTCGGCACATGTATACGTTTGCTAATGAAATTGGATGGTCTTTCAATGGTAATTGGTCTAATGAGGGAAGGGGTTTAAATGGTCCTGACTGCCATATAATAAACGTTTATTATTACGAATACTTGCCTGACTGCCCATACCGGGCGACCTATAAAACACAATGGACAATATAAAACCTAATAATCAGCCATGAGTACGTACCTGTATATGTGAGCTAGGTAGCCTCATGTTACACGCCTGTTTATCTTAAATATTGAAATTGATATAAAAATGTTGATGATGTCGGAACAAGGTAAAAATCGGATAAACTATTGAGAAATTGACATTATTGTATCACATCTTAATCGAAATAGTACATTTTAACGCATGTAGTCTGTTCGCTAAGGATTAAGGAAGACACCGAGTTCTGGAATTGTTAAAACCTAACTGCGTAATGACTTTATACAATCATGACACACTTCTAGTACTATTTATAACTGCCTAACACTAGCTATTGAAAGATTGGAGTTTAACTATGAATAAGGTCTTGCAATGATGGTCACGGTACAATACACAATCATAAAGATGTAATGAAATCCCAAGAAAACGTCCAGTTTTGTTTTGTACTCCACACTGTGCCTAACTTAATAGTTTGTCTCCGTCTATAGCAGTTGTATTAGTGTACGACCAAATAATTTGGTTGTTCTGACGTATCTATATGTTTTTTATCATGCTTTCAGAGCACTACCGAATACTATTCAATTACTCAAGATGGTCAGGGGTGTAGAAGCTGTGTCCACATTGTTTTGGATAACTTTATTGAGTACATTTCCATGGATTCGAATGAGTAGTAAGTTTACAGTTGTTTACTTATTTATCGCGTTTATTGTCAGCCATTATTCAATTAGAATGAGGTGGATTTTCTTTTGTTTTAAATTTTGAAAACTTTTGATGACAGTAGACATTAGAATATGTACAATTGATATCAAAATGTGTACATTAAACATGAAAACGCGTACAGTAGATATCAGAATGTGTACAGTATATATCAGAATGTTTAAAGTAGATATCAGTACATGTAGATACCACGTGATGCAATGTGCATACAACATGGTTTTGTATGGAAGTTAAAATATACTACCTTTTGTAAATGTGAAACAAATTCTACAGTGCCATTCGTCCACCCTCGGCACATGTATACGGTTGCTAATGAAATTGGATGGTCTTTCAATGGTAATTGGTCTAATGAGGGAAGGGGTTTAAATGGTCCTGACTGCCATATAATAAACGCTCATTATTACGAATACTTGCCTGACTGCCCACACCAGGCGACCTATAAAACACAATGGACAATATAAAACCTCATAATCAGCCATGAGTACGTACCTGCATGTGTGAGATAGGTAACCTCATGTTACACGCCTGTTTATCTTAAATGTTGAAATTGATATAAAAATGTTGATGATGTCAGAACAAGGTAAAACTCAGATAAACTATTGAGACATTGACAGTATTGTATCACATCTTAATCGAAATAGTACATTTAAACGCATGTAGTCTGTTCGCTAAGGATTTAGGAAGACACCGAGTTCTGGAATTGTTGAAACCTAACTGCGTAATGACTTTATACATGCTACACTTCTAGTACTATTTATAACTGCCTAACACTAGCTATTGAAAGATTGGAGGTTAACTATGAATAAGGTCATGCAATGATTGTCACGGTACAATACACAATCATAAAGATGTAATGAAATCCCAAGAAAGCGCCCAGTTTTGTTTTGTACTCCACACTGTGCCTAACTTACTAGTTTAATACACATGGAACAAGGTATGTTATATTTTTAACGTTACTGCTGACGGAATTTACGTGTACACCTATAACTTACTTCCTGGTTGTCGTCTATATCAGTTGTATTAGTGTACGACCAAATACTTTGGTCGTTCTGACGTATCTATATGCTTTATATCATGCTTTCGGAGCACTATCGAATACTATTCAATTACTCAAGATGGTCAGGGGTGTAGAAGCTGTGTCCACATTGTTTTGGATTATTTTGTTGAGTATATTTCCATGGATTCGAATGAGTAGTAAGTTTACAGTTGTTTACTTATTTATCGCGTTTATTGTCAGCCATTATTCAATTAGAATAGGGTGGATTTTCTTTTGTTTTAAATTTTGAAAACTGTTGATGGCAGTAGAAATTAGAACATGTACAGTTGATATCACAATGTGTACATTAAACATCAAAACGTGTACAGTAGATATCACAATGTGTACAGTAGACATCAGTACATGTAGATACTATATCTTGTAAAGCAAAATTAAGAGAATCTACATAACACGTGGTTTTGTTTGGAAGTGGAAATATATTACTTTCCGTAAATGCTTGGTAAGACAAACATATATGGTGACATTCCCACTGTATGAAACAGTCAACATTCAAATAATTTGGAAATGTGATCTTCACTTACACTGTTTTAAAATTAGATAACATTTCCCTATATAAAATGTCGACATAAGACTTTAAACTTTATCTATTTTCCATCAATTGTGAAACAAATTCTACTGCGCCACTCGTCCATCCTCGGCACATGTATACGGTAACTAAGAAGATGGGAATGTCTTTCAATGATAATTGTAAGAATGAGGGAAAGGAATTTAAATAGTCCGGACTGCCATAAAATAAACGTTTATTTTTACGAATACTTGCCTGACTAACCATACCGGGCGACCTATTAAACACAATGGACAATGTAAAACCTGATCAGTCATGAGTACGTACCTGTATGTGTGAGCTAGGCAACTTCATGTTACACGCCTGTTTATCTTAAATGTAGAAATTGATATAAAATGTTGATGGTGTCGATTCAAGGTAAAAGTCAGATAAAGTATTGAGACATTGACAGTATTGTATAACATCTTATTCGAAAAAGTACATCTAAACGTCTGTAGTCTATTAGCTATGGATGAAGGAAGACACCGAGTTCTGGTATTGTTAAAACCTAACTGCGTAATTTTATACAATCATGACACAATACTAGTACTATTCAAAACTGCCAAAAAATAGCTATTGAAACACTGGAGTTTAATCATGGGTAAGGCCATTGAATGTTCGTCTTTTTACATTAATAATCGCACGGCTGATATAAAATCCGGAGTCGATGAATGGTAATGTCTAATTTGTTTTGCACTCCACACCGTGCCTGACATACTAGCTTTATTCGTATCAGTAGAACTGACGGTATTTCTGTGTACACCGAAATTACTTCAACGATTTGTTGTTTCTGATAATGTTCAACGATGAGGCTAAAATTCAAATCAAACGAAAACTTAAGCATATGTCTAGCTATTGTCATAATACTCATAAACTACCTTTTCTGTTGCCTATCACGCACATACGTTACTTCCTGGTCTACGACCAAATGGTATGATCATTCTAACGTGGATATGTGTTAGGTTTAACATTCGGACCACTACCAATGCCATATAATCGTTAGAAATGGACAGGTGTGCAGGAGCTGTGTGCATAGTGTTTAGGATAATTTTGATGAGTATAGTTCCAGGGATTCTTATGAGTAGTAAGTTCACAGTTGTTTATTTCTTTATGGTGTTTATTGTCAGCCATTACTCATTAGAATGACATGGAACTTTGTTTTGGTTTACTTTTGAAATATGATGTAGATAGCAATCAATCAATTTGATCTGATCGCGGGAACAAATATGTCTGTAGAAACACCGATTAGTGTGTGAATTAAACATATAAGGTCGGAAAGTTCAACATGACAGTGGTGATACACCTCTTTTGACCGTTAATGATTATATACAAAAGTATTTTACCTAAAATAAGGACATCCGTGTGGGTTAAGATCGTGATGAGTAAAAAAAGACTGTGCTTTAAGAAAAGACAAAATCAATATATAATGTATATCATTGGGGCTCTCGTTTGGAAGTTTGACTTACTAATTTCTATGTTTCTATATAACACGAACTTCTCCCCCTGGTATCATGGCGTTAGAAAGAGATTCAGGTTGAAAGAGTACGATAATCTAAAAAAACTCAAATCTCATTACTGTATAGCGGTTAAGATAACAATGTTGAGCTAAATGGCACGTTAAGACTTTGATGAGCTGTTATGTACTTTCCGTGTAACAACTATCATATTTTCATACAACAGCAAAACATCGAAATTGTAATAGATGCAATTCACATTTACTAAGTTGTTGTAAACAATATATTACATAACATATACCATGATCTGCTTCATTGAGTTCAGGTGTGTACTAAAAAAAGAATCAAAAGAATGATTACTCAATTTCACACTTAAAGCCAACCTAAAGAATCAGTTGAAACTGGATGCATCGCCTGTGAATCCAGACTTCCCTGTGTCCAGCACAACAGACGGAAATTACGGTCCTTTAGCTCCAGGAATTTGTATGGCCTCCATTGGGGCAAACACGGTCTGGTGGCGAGGGACTTTACCTTCTAAGGCAAGAATACAGAAAATCGACATCGTGTTTGGAAAGCCTGGTGAGTCGCTCCCTATACCACTACTAATTTTATAGTAGTAAACTGAACTTGTGCGATACATATATATTAAGGGAAGTATCTTAATGTGATGAAATATTATCTCCATCGGCATTACACTCTACGACTGCATTTCCCAGCATAGGACCAAAATACACTTTTTCTGAACTTGGTGAATGATTGTCGGTGTAGCACTTGTTTTGCAGTTTTACAATCCGTGCCAATGCCAGAGTTAGCAAATAAGACATACACTATATTGCCTGTTCCTTTACAATAGTATTCAGTGATATAGACAATCCTTTTCCTGTGAATAGCAAGAATCTATGATAATATAACAGAACAAAACAGATATATCATGATAATCACTCCATGTAATCATGTACACTATGACAATAATGGCTATCCCACTAAATATACATGTACTATATTATAATCTATATACTACTTTATATCACTTACTGGTTGCATGATAAATTCATTTTCATTGATAGTCCGTCATAAACATATCAATACAAAGTAACGGAAAACTATTGTGAGAATAACAACACCATTTTAGGTGTAAATGTGCATAGGTAAAAGCCAATGGCGATAGGATTGTTTTAAATATATGTTTTCTACGTAGTTTTAAGGTTCATTGTATTCCTCCGCACAAAACTTCTTTTGTTTACGTTTAGCACAGGCGATCGTTGACCATTGAGATTATAAGTCATTTGGAAAACATGGTGTTTAGTTGAGGTTTTTAAATGGAGAAATATATAAGGTAGTAGTATATAGATGATAACTAGTTTATCATACAGTATTTTCAGTGGTGATTGTCGTGAGAACAATTTTCACATCGCGAGCACTTGGATAAAATCGAGAGGCCACCGCAGGCGGACTCGAGATTTTATCTATGTGCGATCGATGAGAACATTGTTCGAACGACAAACACTGAAAATACTGTATGATTATCTATAATTATTAGATTAATTGACAATAAGGATATGGTAACTTACGTCCCATTTCCTAATGTTAAGAAATAATCCTTCCTGGTTGAACGACCAGGATTGTGCCATCGTCACTTTCAATGACAGTGTGTGTTTATTTGTATGGTACTCATTCATTATTTTATATTGTAATCTTTACAAGACTATCCTAATCTTAAGTCAAATCATCCATACATTCATATGCCTGTAATAGTTATAGTCAAATGCCTTCATGTTGTTTTCCTGTCTTTCTGTCAGCGTCGTACACAACACATACATATCATACTGCAGAATATTTATCAATATAGATCCCATCTCATTTGAATAACGACGCTGTGTGTCAGTTGAGAACGTAACCATTCACTGATATTTCGGTGAACACGATAGGTAAACTTTGACTATTGTATTTTTCACTTTATTATTATTGTCGACAGATCTTGCTGACGGCTTTGCCTTGTGGATATCAAACGATACAGGTATACCGTCTGGTGACAAATGTTACGAGGATGTGGACGTCGGCTTCCCGAACCTTACTCAAAACATCACCTCGTGTAACAGAACCGGTCTGAGAGTGATGATAGTCATCACAAGGACACCACCACAAATTGAGCGTATGGGCGTGTGTGAGGTGGATATTTACGGTATATATATACTTTATAGCGTTACGTAATGCCAGAGATGATTGTGATACAGAAACTGAAATAATGACTTATAAATTTCATATAAGTATAAACTGATGTGGCTCACATTCATCTTGCATATAAAGCGTTCAGTTAAGAATATGGTACAGTAGTTCATACTAGTATTATTATTTCAAGATTATAATTTCATTTTGTGTACAAGTAATGCAAATACTTATTAACGACTGTGTTATATCAAAGTACAAACATTTCTCTCAATATATATATATAAAGGTTAATTTGTAAAATAAATGTTCCTGTATTTTCCTCAGTGTTTTCTCACAACGTTTGTTATTAATATAAATATAGATTTTAACAATTTAATTTCCAGGTTGTTTTACACATAAATATGGTGACCAGTGTCAATTCAATTGTACCAACTGTAAACACGGATGTGACCCTGACAATGGAGTTTGTGATTCAACACACTGTAATGCTGGCTGGACTGGAACACGGTTTTGTAACCAAAGTATGTAGCATTAGGGACACGTGTCTGTATAAGCATTGTTTTAACCCCGACACAGCAGACTTAAATTCTATAATGTTTAGGAGGGTTTTTACTGACCACGTTCGAACAATTAGAAACATATAGATGAAGTCCAAGGAAGAAAAATAACCCCGACGCCAGAGACTTTGGTTCATTTGATATGATATAGAGCGGGCTTGTAAGTACCACGATCAGACAACATCATGTAACAGTTATAAACTTAACAATACAAGACAAGGAAGAGCCATAATTACAAATCTACTTCAGAATATATATAAGTGTTTTGTAAGAGGGGAATGTGTTGGGCGACTCAACACAACAAAGCTTTCTACAAAATTCAGTTTCTCGCCAGCATGTACTCTGCATATTTTTATTCAAATTAACCTCAAGCAGTACACTTTAGGGCGCCTGGTTTCTTACCATGAACTCTAACATTTGAACATTTATTTCTCTCTCTCTCTCTCAATTTATATATTTTTTAATTTATTACATACGTGATCGTTAATAGACAAAAAAAGGGAAAGCGTCGAATTTCATTGATTCCTTGGAAAAATCGGAACAATCGTAATAATTCTGTCATTCTTTACAATGCAATACTAGATGGTAGTTTTTAATCGTCATTATCATATTTATTAGAAATATTACAAAAACTTTGTGTTGTATTTGATAAGCCGGAGCAGAAAACTTTAACATGCACACATAGCACACCATTTTTTTTTATTTACATCAGTTAGATAAATATCTCTAAAGGGTTCAGTGCAGTAACATTAATTATGTATGTATCTCTATTTCAGCTTGTTCATCACTTACATTTGGAGAGAACTGTCTTCAGGAATGCCATTGTAAGACGCCCGGATGTAACGGAGAGACCGGACACTGTAACACAGCAGGATGCCAGGCCGGTTACCATGGGAGTAGTTGTAGTCAAGGTTAGTCACGGCGTTTGGTATCGTGATCATAAATTATTTGTCCATTTGCCGACAGTAAATACAATTAAAAGATATTTAGCATTTACAATTAATTTCATTAATTATTTGTTATTTAAAAACCGACAACAAAATCAAGGTCAGTTCTGAAGAGCAATGTATGAAATGTTTTCATATTCCGATGAAGTTCTGAATAATGTATGAGTGCATTTCAATTACGATGTTACATTATATGTAGGGTGTGATAGTTACATAGAGTTACGGTTCTTGTCTACCTCACAGTAAAGATCAGCGTGCTATTAACTCCACCTTCTCTAAGACCCCCAGTTGATCTTAATGAACATGTTTCATTGTATACTTATTCAGGTGAACCACCTCGGCAATTATTTTACAGTCACCCATACATACTAGGCAAATGAGGGTTCTTATTTTTATAAGTCAGTAGAAATTAATATGTTTTATCACTTTCAGTTTGTTCGAGAACTGCTCATCCACATGTAACTGTGATACTCCTGGTTGTGACTTAGTAACAGGTCATTGTAACGTACCCGGGTGTGTTGCCGGCTGGAAGGGGGAGTCATGTAATATAAGTAAGTTGGGGAATAAAATACGGCTTACATTTTTCATTTTCATAAACAAACGTCCTGTTTAAATATCCATTTGTCAAAATCATGTTTATTCAATAAGCTTACTCAAGTATAACCCATGCAGTGTCAGAGGAAAGGGTGAACAAGTCTATAACTTTTGTAAATAATACGAATTTAAATGTGTATTTGTTTTGTATGCAACTGAGAGGTATTAGGATGAATTACTTCCCCTACTAACGTGACACTAACGCATTAACAACAGATCTTTTTAAGATAATGTTAACACATTTTGAGTTTGCTCTGTTAGGATAAATGTTAATCTGGGATGCGTTAAACTTTGTTTTGAGAGTACCTTACTACTATGAGTCGTAATATTTCATCGGCAACATAGATAAACGGGAAAACCCTAAGGATATCTGTTGCGTCATCGTCTCTTTGCTCCCGGGTCTGGACAAGTTGTTTTATGTGGGTTTGCGACAGGCTAAACTTATAAATGCGGATATTAAATAGTTGTCCATTTTGTCTTAAGATAGTTTATATTATTTTTTCTGCAAACAAATCAGGTTCAAAACATTATAACTTTACTGTAGATACTCTGAAATCTATATTATTGCAACACAAAACATAATATCTGGAACGCAAAAAAATCTGACAAATGTAAATCACTTGTGATACAATATCCTAAAGAGATGTCACTGTTGAGCAAATAATACGCCGTTCCCAGAGCTTTGCAGTTTTCACATTAAAATATTTCCTTGTTTTTTGTTCCAATTACAAGTGTAGGAAACGTTTAAATGAAATGCTTCCCTTCGTTATGTGACAACAAGGAATTGTCATAAAGGGCAAACTAATAGCTGCCTGTATCGATGGGTCATGTTGAACATAATGCAGACACAAAATTTTACAAACGCGTTTCTGTTTGTCAATTAAGACCAGTATTCATAAATCTGTTTTTAATTCTGGTTTCAAGCTCAATTTTGCTTGTCCTTGATAAATTAACTTTTAAAAATCTCATTTTGTCAAGGACATGTACAAAAAAAGCCGAATACCGATTTTAATGTTTATACTGACTTCTTGACCATGACTTAAACGAGTAACAAGACAGCTTGCTTGGGCACATAATTCACGCTTTAGTATGAAAATAAATACAGGCCCAGATCTTCATCTCATGAATATGCATCACAAAGGGATACAAACGATATCTGAAAGTTATGAATATCCTTAACTAATAATATTTTTCATGTATTAGCTTGTTTCGACGGAGTGTTCGGTAAGGGATGTAACACTCTATGTCACTGCGCTGTACCAGGATGTGATAAGGCAGATGGTACTTGTACAAACATAAATGCAGGATGTTTGGATGGCTGGAATGGTTCTTCCTGTAGCCAAGGTAAATAAGATCCGATTAACTGAAACTCTGAATTTATTATTTATAACTAAATGAGACCTGAGCTAATGTAAATACTGTGTTCTGACGTTCTGAATTTCATGAGTTTAACTGAATAAAATCGCAGTTATTTAAATTTTAAATGCTTCTTACTTTTTTATTTTTATTTAGCATGCGTTTCTCCCTATTTTGGAAACAAGTGCACATCACAATGTCGATGCAAAACATTTGGTTGTAACCACGCCAATGGGACATGTACAATACCTGGATGTATATCTGGGTGGAAGGGAACGTCATGCTCAACACGTAAGTACTGATTTACAAACAAAATCCATGTCGACATTGATCTATCTTTATTCATATCCGTGCAGTATTTGTCATTATGTTTTCAGCATGCACACAAATAATAATTATAAAATGTTAACCTACAGAATGCCCCACAAACATGTTTGGAAAAGACTGTCTCCTCACGTGTCATTGTATGACACCCGGATGTAGCCGCTTCAATGGAACCTGTATGTCATCAGATGGTTGTAGTGATGGATACATCGGTAGCTCGTGCAGTACAAGTAAGAGTTACCATAAAATCAATATACAACAAAAACAAAACTTTAATACAATAACAAAGTAACATTCATACCTCTAAGTGGGTCATGATAAATTTTACAAATATAGTTTACTAGTTACTTCATGTATGAGAATTGCGGGCTGTTGTGATAGATTTGCTTAAATAGTTACCATTGATACCTTCGTACCATAACGTTCTCTTTTTCTAAAGACAATCCGTTTCTAATTGAAAAATAGTCTTGTTTATTTACGATAGCAAATATCTAATTGGTTTTAAGACGAAAAAATGTAAATATGATACACATGTAACACATGCACATTTATCTAATCAGAATGCAAATCAGGACATTTTGGTGCTAACTGTACGAAACAATGTCGTTGTAAGGATGCTGCATGTAGTCATGTGACAGGAAACTGCTCTTCATCCGGATGTCTGCCAGGCTGGAGGGGTGACACGTGTAGTATGCGTGAGTATATCTTCATCAGAAGGTCGTGCAAGATTTGTCTGTGATAATGCTCTCATTCCTGTGCGTGAATGACAGAACTGTCTAGGGAAAGTGAAATGCTTAATGGAACAAAAAACGATTTGACGTCACGAAACCGGAAACATTCCGATCAGTGATACGGAAATTGGGGTGCTTTATGTGACTTCAAGGCTAATTGTGGTTGTCGGAAAGAGAGAAAAATACCTTTTTATGCCAAGGTTGTAGGATAGGGAAATTCTACTCTCGGGATGTAAAAAAACAAATGGTGCAAAACTCATGACTTGGGTTTAACCAATTTAGAAAGAAAAAAACCTCTTGATTTGAAATTTGTCTGATGTCTGGGTGGATTGGAACGTCATGTTCAACACGTAAGTACATGATTTACCAAAATTATCCATGTCGACCTTCATATTTGCACTTATGTTTACAGCATGCACACAATTGATAATTATAAAATGCTTTCCTACAGAATGCTCCGAAAACAAATTTGGAGAAGACTGTCTCCTCACATGTCATTGTAACACACCCGGATGTAGCCACTTCAATGGAACATGTTTGTCATCAGATGGTTGTAGTGATGGATACATTGGTAGCTCGTGCAGTACAAGTAAGAATTACCATAGAATCGATATAAATACAAACAAAACTTTAATATAATAAAAAAGTATCATTCAGACCTCTAAGTGGGTCATGATAAATTTTACAAACATAACTTAATAGTTACTACGTGAATGAGAATTGCGGGCTGTTGTGACAGATTTACTAATAACCAAAACATTTGCAATGAGAATTCCCGATCAATTGATTAATATATACTTAAATAGTTACCATTGAGACCTTCGTTCAATAATGACAACTTTTTCTTAAGATAAAACATTTCTAATTGAAAAATAGTCTTTTTTATTTACGATAGCAAATATCTTATTGGTTTTAAGACGAAACATTGTTAATATGATACACATGTAACACATCGACATTTATTTAATCAGAATGCAAATCAGGACATTTTGGTGCTAACTGTACGAAACAATGTCGCTGTAAGGATGCTGCATGTAGTCATGTGACAGGAAACTGCTCTGCATCCGGATGTCTGCCAGGCTGGAGGGGTGACACGTGTAGCGAACGTGAGTATATCTTCATCAGAAGGTCTTGCAAGGTTTGTCTGTGATAATGCTCTCTTTCCTGTGCGTAAATGACAGAACTGTCTATGGAAAGTGAAATGCTCAATGGAACAAAAAACGATTTGACGTCACGAAACCGGAAACATTCCGATCAGTGATACGGAAATTGGGGTGCTTTATGTGACTTCAAGGCTAATTGTGGTTGTCGGAAAGAGAGAAAAATACCTTTTTATGCCAAGGGTTGTAGGATAGGGAAAATCTACTCTCGGGATGTAAAAAAAACAAATGGTGCAAAACTCCCGACTTGGGTTTAACCAATTAAGAAAAAACTCACTCTTGATTGGAAATTTCTCTGATGTGCAGCACTGGGCATATTATTTTACCATTATTCACGGGTGGGGGCTAGAACCTATCCCGTTAAGCCAGATTCCCGCGAAAGGTATTGGAACTCTTCTGTAATTGCGAAGTTGACGCGTTAAATTTTGAGTCGGAGGAAGACATACGTAGCAATAGGTTTGGCAGTTCCGTGCATCATGTTCAAGTCTCTGATTCAGCTGAATAATGCAATCAGAGAGTTTAACAATTTCATGTTTGTTGCTCTGAAGAAGGAAAAGGAATTAGACGACGAAGAAAATTAACCGATAAGTAAGTAAATCTACATAATTTTATAATATTTATTATCAGTAGGCTTACACTGAAGTAAGCTTCACTTACCATGATCTGTATCTGTAAGAGTCACCATGATCAGGTTTAGATCTACCGATAAACTATAAACTGATCAATGTTATAAATTTATGCTCCAAAAATGTTGGAATTTTCATAGGACGGGATGTTTTTGGTTTGTTTTTATTTGCCATTATGTTTATATAGATCTGTGTAAATGTACATATGAAACGAACTCCAATAGTTTACCCAGACTCGTATGTAAGCAGCTGCCATCTTACTTAATCTGTTAATGTAGTAAAATTAGTATATGCTTAGATCTACTGTATAGCTATTTGTGAATCCTTAATTAATCTATTTTGTTTATAATTATTCATTTCGGTAAACAGTACATGCCAAAATCAAATTCATGTATGTTAAATATGTTGTGTTTGAAATGGTGTGTGCTTATTTGATTTACAAATAATTTATTTTAAAACCAAATCACAATAATAGGAAATTTAATTTCGTTCTGAACATCTATGTTGTATTTGGTCATTCACAGCTTGTAGTATATCACATTTATAGTGTACATCATATGCAGGATACATTTTATAAATTAACCCGTTTTAAAGTTTTAACATTTGTATTTGATTTTGATCAGATGGCTGAAACTTTGAATAATTGTTTGAATATTTTGTCTTTACATTTTGTAATTTGGGGATCCATGCACTATAGGCTGATCAAATTGGGCACAGATATGCTGGTATCCTGGTCCACAGGTGATCAGTGTACTAGGTTATTATTGTATTGATCAGCCTTACAGAGAGGAAGCACCACATGCTGTGACCAGTATGTCACGTTCTGTCACACCTTAGTCATAAGTGTATCAATACAGTTTATTGTCTTTTCAACTTAGCCTTAAGTAATTCAAAACTATATTCATGATACTTCAGACATATGTTTATTTTTATATAAAGATGCTTAGTCCTTGAAATAGGCCCTGGGGAATCCACTAATAAATATCATGAGCTGCTCCCCTCCCTTCCACCCCAATCCTGCATCATTGATGTTTATATAACACTTACACACTTAAGGTACTATTTTGTTTACATATTAAGAATCTAAAACGTCAGACTTGTAGTGATAAGTATAGCTAAAGCTACATACATGTACTAATGCTATGGCTCATTTCAAGTTTACATTTGAATGGGACTTCTATGATATAATATGAATAAATTAAATTAAAATTTTATAAGCAATATGTAATATACTTTTCAAACATACCTTCAAATTAATTGAAACAACTGAAGGATACTGCAATACTGTAAACTTTTTTACATGGTCTATCATGATTTGAAATATTATTTTTAAAGTTCAAAATATCCCTTTTAAAAATAAATAAAACAAGAATAGAAGTGTAAATTAGGAGATTTGAAGATGTATCAAAGTTATTTTTCATGTTTTTTTTTTTTTTATGTTTTTCAATATAGATTCCAAATCTCAGATCCAATATGAAGATTCGCAAGATGACATTCTTACCCACATTAAATATAATGAAGTTCAGTTTGTTGATGTGGGAAGAAACAATCCTTGCATGCGTTCAAGGAAAGGACAAAGAAAAAGGTAGAAAAGAAAAGAGACAGAAAGAAAATCAACAGAAGGAAATGTAGGTTTTATGTGTTTTATTTTTTGCTGATATATACTTTAGGGTCAATAGTGTTATAAATCATCAATGGATGGTTATCATAAATTAATTTATGACAGTATATTCATGAATGCCAGTCTTTATATATATATATAATATTACTTTAATTTGTACAACCATCATAATTCTTAAATCCACAAAGAAATAATTATCAAACAAATGACATCAGAAATGATGGTTAATTGACAAGGTGTGGTATATCCTGATAAAGAGTACAGATTCATGTTAAACTATAGATAATTAAAAGTGATTCCGGTGGTCAGGTAGTGCAGTAATAGTGTACTCGTTTCTCCTCTCAAAAACAAGACCTGGGAGTGAGAATGGTAATTTGATCAGTCACTAGATATCAGGCCGTATATGTTTTCACTGGGTATCCGGTTACCTCTCGCACCAATGACCCACTAATGTACCAGGATATATGACATTAAAAAAGATTAATAATACAATATACATTTTGTTTTATCTTGTTTGGATAGTTAATCTCTATGAAAAGTAAAAATTAAGTCTATTTTATATATGATATATTATTTTCTTAGATTGGTTAAGGCATTATAGTGCCCTAAACAAGATTGACAGCTAAGTAACTATAGACTATGACACATATACAAATTTTACTAAAATAGTTTTTTTACAATATTTTTACAGGAAGACCACAGCTTTGTCAGAAAGAGATCCTTTATTGAGCCAACAAAAACAAAAACAAAAATGCCCAGCACAAATCAGGATCAGGCATGTCAACAGATTTTCAAACTTAGTTTCAGATCCTATACTGCATGTTATGTTTTGTTTTGTGTATTGTTTCTTGGTTATCTCAAATGCATCAGGCTTGTTAGGTTGAAAAACCATTGAAGTTTAAACTGTTTTCCTTTTAATTTAAAAATCAACTTATTTCTGAAATAATTTAGCAAGTATCTATTTCATCAAATGTTGTACAGGTTGTGAATTATACTTCATTTGTTCTACTCGTGCCTTATATGTATGATCTATATTTAGATTGTTTGTCTTGAAACTTTTTTAAATCGGGAACATCCTTTTCTTATAAAACAAGCGATTGCTTCATGTTTGATAGTATGCTAGTTGGGCTAGTATTCTGGATCAAAAGGGTAGGGTACCAGATGACTAGATTATACTATTATCATACTATTTTATAACTCCGGATCACTGGAGTAGGATCCGCGATCAATGGGATAGGAAGATTTATGAATGGATAATACTATTGTCTAACTATTTTATAATTCCGACTCATTAGGATAGGATCCCGGATCGATGGGTTGGGAACTAGATAACTAGATTGTACTATTATCTAACTATTTTATAATTCCGGATCACTGGGGTAGGATCCCGGATCAATAGGTAAGGGTACTTAATGACTAGGTTATACTATTATCTAACTATTTTATAATTATTAAATTGATGACAGGTTATTTTCCTCTTTTTCTTAATTATTCTCTTTGTAGCAAAATGAAAACAATTATATGCTCAACTGCCACATTTTTTTCTATTTAGTTTTATGATTTTAACATAGTACAATGTTTCCTTGTCATATGAAGATGGTTATGTCAAGTCGCATTTTTGAAAAAATCAGGTATTCTTCATTTAGTAAAATGATTGTTTTTTGATACATTTGTTTTGTTACGTTAGATAAGTTATATTAATGGTATTTAGTTCTATCCCCCTATGGGCAAAGTGATTTGTTGTACAATATATCATTGTTATATGGAGACTTGTATGATTTCATAGCAGTAATCTGTATTTTACATTTATTGATGACTGCATTTAAGAATATGAGCTTCTTTTTTTGACAGATCAGGAAGGTGTCAATGCCAGAGGTTCACCTCTGTATGGACCATGCATACATGCTATTCTACAGGGTACTACCACTTCCATATATCAGTTGAATGTTTTGTAATTTTCCGGAAAATAATTAAAGTAAAAAAAACACAATTACGTATGTACATATTATGTTGACATGTTATCATTTTGATGACTTAATGCATTTATATTTTCTTATAACTTAACTTAATTTATAGATTTTTTTGTACGTTCACACAGGTTTTGTGTATACTAGTTTCTTGAATTAGTGCATTTCAGAACTTTGTGATCAAGGTCATTGTTACTATAAATAGAATCATCAGTGTCATCACTATTGGCTTCAGTTCCCGTCTGATTGTCATCTTCTTAGTGTATATATGTAAAGTATTGAAGTACTGTGTTTTGAAGGTCCTATCATCAAGGTTATTAACTAATTGTTGCTATTTTTAGAAAAACAAGTTGTCATTTATGTCATAATATTTTAGTGACTTTATTTATACACAGATTTTCTTATTATTTTACCTACGAGTTGCATTGACGATGACAATATCTTAATATAATATTTGAATGTTAATAATACTTACATATTTCGAGTAAGAAAATATTTTGAAAAACTGTTTTCAATATTTCATCAGAATAGTAGACTAAACCAATCAGTCAGAATCAGATGTTCTTTTGGGTAAGGGCTTCCCCACCGTAGTTGAAGATAATAATACACAATGTATTTGGTTATATCTATGAATGGTTTATAGCTAATGACCAGCAAAAGATGAAGTGCGATGTTTTCTCAATCAAACAACACAAGTTATTTTATCAGTACAGTACTATTGAAACATGATGC